CCCTATTCCCTATTGTTATATCAAACAAGATTTTGTTATCTTATGGTTGTTTCAACATCACAGACAGGAGAAGAGTGACAGTAAACCAACCTGTGCCTGGGATCTGAGCAGTGGCAGCTGACGTCTGCAAGTTGAGTGCTCCTGTATCTGCTGACCTAGAGCATCTCTGGACAGAGACAAAAAATAGCTGGCAGAATCAGCTTTTAGCTGTGACTTACCTGAGGGTCTTGGGTGAATTAACATCACAGAACAGACAGAAATTTTGGCTTAAAAGCCATGAATCCAGCTATCCAAGGAGCCAGTCTGCTTCCTGTAGTTGTCACATTGGACAAGGACTGTGTCAGCCCCAAACCCTGATGGCTGCAGAGCCCCAGAGTCACAGCCTTCCCTCAACCTCCATTTCCTTTGAAACACCTAAATAGTTTCTATGGCATCTCTGCAAACTGAAGACAAACTGTTCTTTCAAAAGGAGTTTGTTATCAGTGGTTTTTCAGCCTGTAAAGGGTGGACTCCCCAGGGCTGAAGTCTAGTTTTAAGAGTCTGATAAAAATAACAGGAAAAGCTAGTTAAATGGCAGCAGCCTTAAATCTCCTATCTGGGGTTGCACCTCTGTTGGAAGATATGTGAGCATTAGCAAATCAGAAAAAGTCTGAAAATCACTGAGCTGGGATATTAAGAGATCAGCCTGATTCCCTAATTCTCCACCTTATTCCCTAATTCACTCTCAAAATGAGAAGAGTCTCCATCTCGAATAATCTCACTGCAGCATCAGCTTCAAGCCAAGAAGATAAATGGCCTTGCAAAAAGCTCTCTCCATCAGAAACTGTGTGAATTAGGTCAAGGTTAGGATAATGCAGAGATCAGGAAACAGGGCTTCCACATAAGCCGAAAAGCTAAGCACTAATGGCCAGTAGTACAATATATAATGAGCTCTTAAGAGCAACACATAACTAAGCTATATATTTCTTCACTGCAGTCAGCTGCATGTTGGTGCTTTAATGAAGTTACAAGGCAGAACAGAGGAGAATCTAATCTCCAGAGAACATTATTAGTGAAGACAAACTGCATTTCACAATGTTGCCGTTATTTTTGTAAGCATCTCATTAATCATTTAATGGTCATTACCCATTATTTGCTTAGCCTGGGCAGAGTACTCAGCTGAAAATACTCAGATTCAGGTGGTGCCTGCCCCACAGAGCCAACAGGGCTTTAATTTGTCTCTGCTGTCAGTGACCACCAGGAGCTTGTATAGTGCTTAGAGGGAGGAAACAGTGCCTATGTCCTTTGTCATGGGCAGCTGAAGTGGAAGGTGACTTCTACTGGATAAACTGAAGATGCCGAGAGATTTCCAGGTAATGAGGGGTAAAATCCTCTTCCAGCTTTGCAATGAAAAGCAGCAATGATGCTGCACCGCTGTCCTCAGGTACCAGTGGCAGATTGGTCTCCAAACTGTTTGAAAAGAGTAACAGAAAACAAAGCTCAGTTGCAATCTGCGGGTCAAGTCTAGATGGGTCCTCAGGGGAGCCTTCCTGTGTGCCCAGAGGTCAGCAACAGGCCCACCTGGACTGCAGAGGAACAAAGTACTGGTCTGTGGACTCTGTAAAGGTGATTTATGGTGTTATTTGCCTTCACTTAAACACAAGATTATGTATTTCCTCTAAATCTTTAAAAACCGTTAACCTTTGTGCTCTGAATAAACATGGCCAGGTAGAAGGGTTTTGCCAACCAGCTGAGAGGTGCCAAAACCAGAGACCAGCCCATAATGCACCCATGGTGACCTGGGAGGATGTAGCTGCTCTCATGTCACAGGGATGCAGCGTTTCACCTGTGACTTACTCATACTCTCAGCATCCAGCATGGGGGAGTCAGTGGAGATCCACACTTATCCCCAGAGAGGGAAACTGAAGCAAGGAACACACATCATTCAGTACTTGCTCCTTGTGGCCATACAGTGCTCATTTTAACCAAACACTGTGTGGAGGTGGCATCCCCATGTGATAATTAATGAGCCAAGAAATTAGGAAGGAAGAGACTTTCAGAGCTAAATTAATTTTGTAGCCATCTCCTGCAGTCTGGGAATGTACTGGGCTGGTTCTGTGCTTCTGATTGGTCCCAGGGTAACTCCATGGCTGGCAACAGGGGCACAAAAAGGTGGTAACTTAGCCTCCTGCAGCACTGGTGGGGGGACTTCAACTGCAGCACCCACTCGGATGGGGACTGTCACCACTGTGCCTTTGCTGCAGGTGTCAGAGCTGCTGTGCCTCTGCAGATCAATTGCACAACCTCCCATTTTTAACAGGGGAAAAGAAGTGCTTTTGTTTGTGCCCTTACATCATCGCAAGAGCAGCTGACCAACCCATGTAACAGTTTTCTAAACATGTTTTGCCTGAGGCAGATGTTCAGGACAGAAAAAAATCAGTTTGGGTAATTAAATAATTTATCAAAGTTATAAACAACTGCAAACAGCTCCTAATGAGGTAACCCATCATCTCCCATGCCAGGGGCCAGGAGCACTTCAGCCAGAGCCCTGGGGGCCTTCCTCGTCAGGGACAAGTGCTGGTGGTAATGGCCTCTTTCCAGCAGAGCAAGCTTCAGGACAGGTGAAATGTCTGCTCCTGGACACCGGCTTTCCTGGAGGAAAGAGGGCCCAGTCTAAGCACAGAAAAGGGAGACCAAGTTGTGACAGAGCCGCTCATATCCCCAGCAGCTCACTCGTTGCTGGGGTTTGGGGGAGGCCAGGGAGCAAGCGGGGTTACTGGCATGGCCACAATGCTCCTGCCTCTGTCCTTCAGGGACAGACCCCACAATGACCGTGGAGCTGGTGGAACAGATCGAGGGTGCAGCCCCAGACACATTGGACCTGCGCTGCTGGCGCTCTGCTCCCCACCTAAATATATGTATAAGGGCTTGCTCTGGATGTGCCTTCACACCTTGAGGGCAGGCACGCTGCACGCACAGCATCGATGCTGCATGCACATCATCGGTGCTGCTCCAGCATCGCAGGCTCGTGCACAAACCTGACCACACCACTCTGCTGAATTTGTCCTACTTTAAATGACCAACTCAAATTCTGGTGACAAAATAATCCTTTTCCCGTAAGCAAGAGGGACTGGTCACTGTGCCGCACCGAAAGGGCTCACTTTATGTCACCCTAAGAACTGTGTAATCAAAAGTGCTTAGTTTTGAGAATCATTTTGAACATTTGCCCATCTCTAGCAATTTACTTACCTTAAGAGTCCTTTCTCTCTCTCCCCAAGAAAATCCCAATGTGTTTTGCTGCAAATTAAGGCACAGTCCCTTTATTCTATAATTCAACAACTCTGTGTCTTAGCTCTGAGTTACTGGTGAGATCTTAGATCACAACAGAGCAAAGTAATTACCTTGAGGCATCCTTTACAGACCTCTAACATCCAGGCCAAGCTATTGCATTTGGGAGAAGTAAAATTCCTTTGTACCTTGTGCTGTCCACAGGTTACCTCCACCTCTTTTTACATCTTATTTTCCCAAGCTGTGAGGAACTATTTAGCCTTTGCAATGTTTTTGCCCAGGAGAGCTGGAAAGGCAAAATGATTTCTCTAACGTAATTGTTCTACAGGGAGTGCACAACACTTTTCGAACCTGAGTCAGCACATAAACGCAAGCTGTTAAATGTGAAACCCAATGAGCATTAAAGCAGTTGGAAACTGAGACAGGCTGCACCCTGGCTAAAAATCATCTGTGGAGTTCAGCCAGGGGTCCTGATGCCCTGTAACAGCAAAATGGAGGGGTCCTGATGTCCTATAACGGCAAAATGAAAACATCAGCTGATTATCTGCTGGTTTTTATTGCTGATGGATGAACATTAACAGTCATTTCCACTCGCAGATAAAGGACAACACAAATATTATGGTTGGCGCAATTGTATTTCATTTAAGTAATTGTGCGAGTCGCTGTTTAGATTGGAGGAGATGACATTGTGGCTGTGAGTTGCTGTGTGTCACACAAACGCTGTATGTGCCCAGGAGCAACTATAGGTACCCCTCCTTGCTGCTCGCTTTGCGTGATCCCATCATGGCAACCAGCCCTGCAATGGAAGCCAGCGTGGGCAGAAACCTCAGTGCTACAGCAAGGGTACTTCAGGGGAGATGATTCCTCTCTTTTTAAATAAAATAGGTAAGTGCAACACCTTTTCTTTTTCCCTTTCCTGAATGTGTGTGGAAACCTGAGCTGAGAAGATATCTGAAAATGTTTTCAGGTGAAAGATGGGGAGAGGAAAATTATGTTGAATACATCAGAAAAAAACTGAGCTTCCTTGTGTGGCAATGAGCTGTATTTATCTGTAAAATAAACTTTTGAGTGGAGAAGAAGAATTGCCTCTGGGATATTTAAAATAAGCAGAAGATGATAATCCAGTCCCATGAGACAAATGAGCCAGCTGCTCTGATAGTACCATGCCCTCTGATGGAGGAACCCCAGCACAAGGGCCTTAGATGTGGATGCAGGTGTGGTACAAATGTCACAGTATGTGCATGGTGTGTATCCAAAGTGTCATTCCAGGCTTTGAAGGCTATTGATTCTCACAGCCTCCTGACTGAAAGTTTGGTCCTTTCAGCCCATTTTCATAGGGAAATCTGAACTCGCAGCGATGTGGCATGCTCGGAGCCAAGCGTGAGCTCCCTGCCTCCCCCCTGGTTGGTATGTGGGACAGCCCTAAAAATGAAAAACAGGGCAGAAAAAAAACAGCTGCCGGAGGCTGTATGCATCTGCTCACCTAGAAAAGCTACCAACCAGCCTGGAAGATAAGCACTGGGAGAGAGAGACACCTGCGAAAGCCCTGTGGCACTGGAGAAGCCCAGCACTGGCTTTTCCCCTCTCTTCCACCCCCATCCTCCTGCCCCCACCAACTGGACTGAGTTGTGTCCCCCACCTCTTGGCAGCAGAATCGGGAGACAAAGGGAGACAGACTGTGCTGGGCAGCCCAGGGACTTCCCAGGAGGAGCACCTCTGGCCTAAAGGACACAATGGACCGTTTCCGGATGATCTTCCAGTACTTCCAGTCCAACTCAGAGTCTGTAATGAATGGGATCTGTGGGCTGTTAGCCCTGGCTAGCGTGAAGATGTATACCTGCTTCGACTTCAGCTGCCCTTGCCTGCCCCGCTACAACATGGCATACGGCTTGGGGATCATGTTCATACCCCCTGTCACCCTCTTCCTCTGTGGGTTCATCCTCAACAGACAGTCCCTGGTGATGCTGGAGGAGTGGAGGCGACCGCAGGGACACAGAAAGAAGGACCTAGCTGTCATCAGGTGAGGTTTGTATTGAGACTGGCGTCCCCCCTTCCCCCTCCCGCTTAGCAGTCTCACCTCCGTATCTTTGATCCTCCTGGCAATTCTTCTAAGCTCAATGCCTGAGATCTTTCCCCTATGATTCTAGGGGGCAAGGGTAAGGTAAGTGCATTTACCACAGCAGAAATGAAGGCAGAGCCTCAACCCGTCCCAGCAAAGCAGGGCAGGAGCACGTTGACTCCTACCCCTGGGTTTATGCTGCCACCCTGGGAAACCACATTGCTATCTGCTCTGTAGTGCACACACAGGGTTTTTCCTGGGGCTTACACATGCAAGAGGAGGCTTCTCCACTTAAATGTGCAGAAAGAGTGGCATTTCCATCACGGTCATTCTTTAACAATAGCCTTGTGGTTTCCCTCCCTTCGGTTGAGTTTTTACTGACTTAGACTGGTGGGAGTGGAGAATCATGTTCAATCTGTTACATACGAAGTTTAACCTAGTGCACAGAGTAAGGCAATAAAGCTGCAGAAAAGAGTGATTTTTCCAGGCAGAAACTGAGCTGATGAGAAAAGAGAGAATTAAGAAGACAACAGAGAGCTGACAAGGGTTTGTACATGGAAGACATAAGCACACTGACAAGACAAGTATATACAGAGTTGACTGTGCACCGTATCAAATGCAGGCAGCATGCAGAGCACTGGCCCAGATCCCACTGAGGGGCAACACCAGCAAAGAAACCCCAGACCAGAAGAGACATTAGCTAGAGCAATGCTGGGGACAGTCTTGGGAGTCACTCTGTGGCTCCAGGAGGGCTGCTCAGCAGAGGGTGGCCTGAGTCCACTAAGGCTCTGGATAAGGAGAAAGCTCCCAGAACTTACTCCCTCACTTCTCTCTCTTCTGCCCCAGGTACATGTGTTCCTCCATCATGCAGCGAGCCATGGTTGCCCCTGTTGTCTGGATCATAGTCACCCTCCTGGATGGCAAGTGCCTGATCTGCGCTTTCAGCAGCTCTGTGGATCCCGAGAAGTTCGTGGGCTTCGCCAACACCAGCCTGGTGCAGGTGCAGCAGCTGCTAGCTAAGGTGCCCTGCAAGGACGATGATCTCATGAGGAACAACACATCCCGAAAGGCAGTGTCCAGGTACCTGCGCTGCTGGTCCCAGGTAGGTCACTGCCGGCAGAGACCCCCATGTCAGTGAGGTGCCTGGGGCATCTGTCATCCACTCCTGCTCTTCCTTAATTTGTCATAACTTCACCACCGTCAGAGCAAGACTGCTCTTTGCTTCCTTATGCACCCAAGTGTTGCCACCCTCAGTGATAATATCGAGAGTCACTCAAGTAGGGAAAAGGAAGGAAATCAAGGATAGTTTAATTAACAGAACTTTGTTTCTAGAAGAATCAGCAACTTCTAAACCCAGATAATAAAAAGCAGGTCTGTAGGAACATAGGTGTCTCTCAAGGTCCTGTCCAGTGTCAGAAGACCCTTCTAACTGCTAACCTTGCAGATAGGACCTGCTGTTTTAGGGACAGGACAAGCTGAGGCAGACAAAAGCAGTTTACTCAGTAATGACAGGAGAACAGAACACGATGGGGAGTGGAGCCCTGGCTGGGCCCTGCTCTTGGTACAGGAGTGCCAGGTCAGGGATTAGGACTGGTGGGAGGGCAGTAAGACAAGTCCTTTCTTCTTATCAATAGGAGTTGCATGTGGTCTGGGATGTCTGCACCCTGCTGCTGGGACTACTCGGGATAGTGAGAGCCAAAGGAAAGCACTGAAGTCCCCTTCCTCTGGGGCACTCCCATGCTCAAAGCAAATACCTGGCTGCTCTAGGCTAACTTTGCAAACGGTTGTTCTATGGAGTTATTGATGCACAGATAAATGTCCTATATTCACTGGGAGGAGATGATATATTA